TGAGGACGCACAGAGGATCCTACTTCTCAGGAGGGATAGTCACATAAAGATTAAGTTTGTCATAGTACAGCAAACGGGTATGCAGGGACCCTGTGCATGCTTCCGTTCGGCTTCTGTTTAATTACAACTCCTCTGCAGGCCACCTCTTCCCTCTGCTTTCTCTGACTCAGGGCTACACTTTGGTCTACAGAACTTCAATCAATTCATGCCCACACATGTCGGGGACAGAGAAGGAAGTAGGCAGTGTAAACAAAAGATGCCCTGTTTCTTGTGATCAGATGAGTCTTCATCCACTTCCTGCCCCATCTGCAGAGTCCATCGGAGCTTCCTTCATGGCTGTCCACGGCTGTGTACCGCTGGAGCATCCCCCAGTCACCACACACCGCGAGCAGCCTCGCTGGCTGGAAACACAGACCACACGGCCCAGAAGACAGATCCCAGGAGCAGTAAGGGCCGGTAAGGGCTGCAGAAAGGTTCATTAACTCTGAAAACAAAAAGCCTTCAAGTTCTGAAGGGCCCACACTCCTCCACTGCCCCAAGGTCAAGATGCCCACCCAAAGGGACACCAGGCCTTCAGAGCCAGTGTTCACGTTGGCACAGGGCCATGACCTGCACCAGCTGACGTCACCTGCAGCAGACAGGCCAGCACGTGCCCTCGTGCAGTTTCGGAGTCTTGGAAGGAACCAGTGAGGCTTGCTTCTGAACACAGAAATCTGGCTGTCTCTGTACTGAGGCTCTCTACCTCCCAGGATGAGGAGGAGGCTTCGTGGCACCAGCTGTCCTGCTGCCACACACACCTTGCCGCTCTGCTAAAAGCAAGGGTTCATCCGTCCATCACCTCAAGATAGCCAGCGTCTCTGATCTCCTCCTCCCTCCAGGCCCCTGGCATCCTTGTGTCCCCCAGCTTGCCCACCCCCTACAAGTCCTGTGTATGTGTCCCACGCTGCCAGGTGGACACAAGAAGTAGAGACAGCACACCATGTGGCTGCCGTCAACCCAGTGACCAACACCTCCAAGGGCTCATCAAACCCCAAGGCTTGGGCTTTGACTCACAGCTACTGAGGTTCAGCGGGCCGCACCGGCCCAGTGGGTGAGACACCAAGGTATCAAGGTACATGATATACACAGAGCAACTCAAGCACAGTGACCCACGGGACACACCAGAAGCCACAAACCCGAGAAGGCAAAGGAAACAAATTATGGAGGAGAGGAAAGTTCCCCCTCTTTTACAAGCTCTTTGCTGCCATTAAATGATTTAGACTGTTAACTCTATAGCAGACGACACCACCCTTGAACAGCACCAAGAAGGGGACAGAGGGACACCATGTGACTCTGGAGCCAAGGTACTAGGGACAAAGATAGCAGCATTTTTGTACCAAGCCCGTGATGGCATCATGCAGAAATATCAGGCAAACCAGCTGCTTTGAGGCTACGGTTTTCCAGCTCCTTCACAAAGGGCACTGTCACAAGGGCAAAGGCTGAGAAGCGGTGCCAAATGAGTGGAACAAGGGACAAGGCACCAAAATTCAAGGAATGACCCTAGGTTGAATCTGGCACCAGAAAATACCTTTGTAATTATTATTATTTTTTCTTTTTTGGTGAGGTGGGTCTACAAAGGACATTTGGGAACTGATAGAGCTGAAGTCTGTAGATCAGATGACAGCAGTGGGACACAGTTCACTTCCCGATTTTGGCAGTTAGGCTGTGGCTACGCAGGAGAGCACTCTTCTTCCTAGGAAATACTGAAGGACCAAGAGCCAGGGCAAGGGTACCACGTGGAAACAGTACGGACATGTGTCAACAGGGGCACTGTTAAAGCAAATGTGACAACCTGTGCGCACTGGGGACTCGCAGGTGGCACACTAGCAGAGTTCTCTGTGCCTTTCTTTCAACACTGATGGAAACCTGAAGTTATTTTTAGAGCAAAGTTGGCAAAACTTCTCACTGACATGGAGCAGCAAGGCTCTGTGCCAGCTCCCTGGTGGCCAGGGGGGACACCAGGGGTGAAGAGCCGCGCTCACCTGCCATGTGCCCCTCGCCTCCTTCAGGTCTGGCTTTGCAGCCCTGTACCACAGGCCACCACTAGTACTGACAACTACGCAAGACATCCTCTTTCTCTAACTGGAAAAACAGGAAAGCACCCTGTCGGGCTTGGTCAGGCTCTGGCTATGAAAGAGCAATGCTTTAAGGAAGGTTCTGAAACGGTGTCAGGCAAAACAGACAGGAGGAAATGCATAAAGAGGCTGAAACCACTGTGAAGCGGCGTGGCAGTACACGGGCACCCTGCAAAGCCGGCAGGTGATCTGAAGGCACGACACTGTAGACCATGGCCGGTGCCACCTCCCTGCGCCCGTGATGGGCCATCCCCAGCATTACCGACACCAGGTGGCTCCAACCTAACAACTATCAGGACAGCCGCTGGTGGCTTTGGGGGTCACTGTGCCACAGTCCAGACGTCCAGAGTCCAGTTTCTGAGCTGGCTATTTATATTCAATATGGAGAGTTCTTCTGTCCTCATTTTAGAGAAATTCTGTTACAGCCTGGAATCTCGCTAGTCCTTTCTGGAAGTATCCCAGCCTGCTAGGAAAGCTGAAGTCCTTTCTTAGTGACTGCACTTTAGCACTGAATTATATTTTTACGATATGCAAAAAATGCACAATTATAAAATCTTGCAAAACAGTCCAATAAGCCGAACATAAATTTGTTTTGACAAAAGCATGGGGAACAGTCGTCTCATGGGAAAGAACAGACGATCTTCTTAGATGCCCTGCTACACAAGACTCCAAGAAACAACCCTGGGAAGAGAAGTGAGGACATACATGCACGCTCACAGAAGCTGTGCACAGCCTCAGCCTCAATGTCAAGGTAAGATCACAAACCGCGCACCACCACCGGGACAGCCTCTGTCAGGGGACAGGCGGGTGGCCTTCTAGCTTTAGCCTATGTCTCATCCCCGTAGGGACCTGTACTCATGGGCTGATCTCAGCAGGCCCTGGGGAAGCCTTGTAGAGTTGTGAGTTCAAACTTTGTGGTTGAAAGAGAAACTTTTCAGAATATTCTTACAACAGTTCTGCAGCCAGCAGGCCTGTGTAGGGCATGAGAGCGGGAGCTGTGTGGCACAGCTGAGTGCCGAGCTCCTGGCTCCAGGACACTTGGGACCAGGCAGCCCCACCCCCAGGCAGGTCCACCCCCAAGAAACCTGCAAAGCCCCTTCAAGACAGGGGATGCTGGGCGCAGCATGATGGTAGTGTGTTGCCTTGATTCAGAAGTGACCTGACCTGCTGGACCCAGCCCAGAACCCGGGTTCTGGAGAGGCCCGCGTCTTCCTGGCTTCAGCATGAGGGCCAGCCTCCCAAACATACTGCAGCCCCGTTTCCACTGAGAACCAAGGCTAGCCGCGTGCAGTAACACCCAACTCCTAAGAACTATGGAGAATGTAATTTAATAGTAAATCATAGCATCAACCAACTTTCAAAAAAAAAAAAAAAAATCTACCACTTCATATGTGGGCTGCTGAGTACTTATGCTGTGTGAGCCCACCCGTGGCAGGGAGGTCTGCAGGCACGGGCCGGCTGAAGACGGCATCAGGAGCATGTCCTCAGCCCATTCCTCAGTGTGACACTTCCTGTGTGGTGACAGAGCTACAACTGCAGCACACTTCCAGCAGGCACATGGGCACACACCCACAGGACGACAGGAAGAGAAGCTGGCGTGCAAGGCCAGGCTCCGACAGAGACGCCGCCAGGCGGCCTGGCGAGAGTGCACGGAAGATGCGAGCAGTGTTAACCACCAAGAGCAAACCAGGAACGACTCAAAGTGACGGGCAGGGGACAGCTACTCGCGCAGCAGCAGCAGCAGCAGCAGCAGCAGCAGCAGCAGCAGCAGCAGCAGCAGCAGCAGCAGCAGCAGCAGCAGCAGCAGCAGCAGCAGCAGCAGCTGGCGGGGCCCAGGGCGGGCACTTAAAGTAGGACAGAAATTCCAGGATATTCTCAGCACGACTTTACCCAAGTCAAGGAAGGGAAAGAGATTTTACAACCAGTAAGAGGCACTTTCTATGAGACAGTAATTTTCAGGGAAAAAAATAAATAAAGCCAGAAGAGAAGTGACAGAATGAGATAATGGTATGAAGGACTATAACGTCGCCCATAAACTGAGATGAGCATCCTTCCTTTCTGATAAACAGGAATCTCCGAGGTGTCTCAAGGAACGTGCTCCATCATTCAGATCCCGCAACTGTCAGTGTGGCCCTCAGAGGACAGTCACTCACAACTGACCCACTTAAACCATCCTCAATACAGAAAAGGGGTCTCAACAGTCATAGGACACTCTACCAAATGAAAACGAAAGAAAAAAATTTAAATACACTGCATTTACACTTTTTTTTTTTTTTTTTTTTTGGTGAGAATCAAGAATCCATCTCCAAATTTATGTGGCAGTCAACTACCTTTATTTAAAGGTTGTCCACCCCAAACTGCACACCGTTGATTAGTGGCCTCCTAGCCACTCCCATCATACATGCGCAAGGACCACCGCAGGCCTAAGAGGGACAGCTCCCTCCGTGGGCTCAGGGCAGTTGCAGAGGGCAGGAGTTTTAGATTAGTGTTGACACTGCTCCCTGGAGCTCAGTGACAACGCACGTTGACATTCTAGCTCTGCAGAAGCGCTTCCCATGGACTGAAAACTACAGTCATAGTATTTAAACACATGGGAGTCTTTCAAAGCCTATAAATAACTTCCACTTTTAGCACTGATGTTTTAAGGTTTCTGCTCATGAAATACTTTGCAGCTTCCTACTATATGTTTTTAAGTGATTTAAGCCATGAAATTCAGCCATAAAACAAATGGAAAATAGTAGAGGCAAAAGAAGGGGCAGTCACATGTAGGGGATATCTTCGTGTCCAAAACCAGTATGCAGTCCTTGCTCGTCTTCATTTTGTCTCTTATAGTATGGAGTGAGGTGGGGAGCATTTGGGGAAGAGAAATAGCAAACACGTCCTTACCCTCCTCGGGTAAGAGGCATTAAACTCGTCTCCAATGCGTCGCAACTCATGCGCGATCCACATCTCTGGGCGCAGGTCCGGAGGTTCAGCCTGAGACTGCCTCATGGAAGCTGTGAGGATAAGCAGACAAGAAGTCACACGCGGGTCCACATGGCCCTGAAAACGTTCCACTCGTATGGTTCAAGATGCTGTGCCCCCACACTTGCTTCTGGAAGCTTCTAGAACCCAACCCCAAGCATGCACTCAAGCCGACAGTGGCAGAGCCTGCTGTGTAAGTGTGCCCAAAGAACAGGGGTGTAGATTAATTTCCTTTTACAGCACTGGAGGTTAAGAACGGCAAGAATTAAAAATGTCCATTTATACAGACTCAAGAAGAATGGTACAATGAAGATCACCCGAGAAACATGCTCAAGGGCTGTGGCTGCCCTTCAGCAGTAGTGCTTGCCCAGCACACACAAGGGAGACCCTACGTTCTCTTCCTTTTCTAGCCCAGGAAGAAAGGAAGGGAGGGAGGATAGACTTGGAACATACTAGAATATAAAAATTTAAGTTTGTCAGTAAATTAATCATTTTAATCTTTTGACAAGTCAAAGTTCCTAGGAAAATGTCAACCACTAGCTAGGAGTATGAGCTGGAACAGCGGTCCCTTCCAAAGGAAAATGGGACGGATGAGAAAACGGAGCAGTTGGTTTCCACAGAAGTAGGCTTGGGGACACAAACAGCCAGTCTTCCTGAGCAAGCGCCGCCCAGGGCCACAGGAAAGCACAACTGTATGTTTTGCTTCAATATTAATGCAGTCAATAAAGATGAGCTCAAGTCTGCAAACACCACATGGGGAGAGGAAGTGTTCGGGGCCAAGGAGCCAAGGCTTTTGGAAAGGAGAGAAGAGAGGACGGCTGGTCCTTTCACTAAGCGTCACTAACATCCACACCCGCGACATTTATCTGTTGGCTAATGAAACCACTAAAAGCCTTGTGACAGGCAAACATGAAGAACAAAACCGAGTCTTCACGGTCCCATCACACACCAGGGAAGCACTATTCACACACCTTACAGAAAGGCATCAGCCTTAGAGGAGAACGGTTCGGCCCCACATGTAGGAAGAGAGATAAGACCTGGGACTTCAACTGCTACTCGTGTTCAACTTCTGTGCACTTACTGTGAGCGCACGTACGAGGCAGTCACAGCCAGACACGCGTGCTGTCCTTAGCCACCGCCAAGTATGTAAGAACCTCAGATTTCACAGGAACACGGAATACAGCTTCCTGTTTTGGATTTTGGTGAAAGGTCCACAAAATTAATACTAAATCCTAGTTCTCTAAAAGCAGGTTAAGATGAACACATCAAAGTTGTTGCCATTTTTCTAAAAATTCTGGCTCCATTTTTCCTGCCTTTTTCACCTCAACTCAAATATATTTAGGAAAGATCCCTTGGAGTCTTAGGGCTCTGGAGAGGCAGGCATGGAGGGGTGGGGACACACAGACCTCTCCAGAGTCCCTGCACCCTGTGAATTGGCCAGGGGAGCTGCTAAGGGCAGCACAGGTGGGGAAGACAGAGGCTGGCAGGAGACACTTTTAGGATCACACAGAGATGCCCATGAATTGACATCTAATCATAAACAATTACTCAGGTCATATGTTTGTCACACAAGTATTTCTAATGTTAATCTGTAAAGCCTACTAAAATGTTATCTTGAAGGGGCCGGGGACACAGCTCAGCAGCATAAGCATCTGCCCCGCAAGTGCAAGGTGCCGAGTTCAATCCCCAGTACCGCAGAAACAAACAAGAATCATTGGCAGAAAAAGATTTCAAAAATGTAAACAATGCCTTTATAAATAAGGAGGGGAAGAAGAAGGGTAAGGGAATGGGGAAAATAACAAAAACAATCAAGTCATATCATGCCCTGGTACAAATTCCCTTCAATGAATGCGATCATCATGTATACGTAAAATGTACCAGAACAAATCAGTTCCTTAAAAAGAAAACAAGGCAGGATTTCAGTGATACAATGCCACCATGTCACCCTGATTTCTCCTGGGTTCAGTCCTTCATAGATGAACCCTCACAGATACCCAGTCATTATTGGCCTTTTATTAACAACCAGGTACTCTTTCCTCAACTTTCACAAAGCTAGAGAAAAGGACACCCCTTTCTTCCCTCAGGCCATAGTTGAGAGAAATCTGCCTTCAACCCTGGAGTCTGAAACAAGAAGAAAAACCAAGAAGAAAAACCAAGAAAGGTCACTGAAACAGAGATAGTTTCAAGCTGGTGGAGGGGTAAAAACTATGGGCCAAGGGACCCGGTGCTTAACAAATGGAGAATTTGCTGATATTCTCAAGGAGTACAGAGAGCTGTGGGGCCCAAGCCTCCCAGAAGGTGACTGGGCTCTGAGCTCTGCTTCCTGAGTATACGCTCTTGTGAATTAAAAGCTGCATTTCAAGCAACCGCCAGGTTTCTTCTGGACGAAGATACTTGGAAGTAGGCGTCACATTTCTCACAGTGCAAACCCAGACCGAAACGGCTGCCCTGGTCAACTGCCCCTGAACTGGTGGTGAGGTTTGCTGGATCCTACTAACACCTCACTTTCCAGGTTCATGTGGGGCTGGCAACTCCAAGCACCACCACAAGAGCCAGCCAGGCAGAAGTGGCTTTATCAAGATTCCTACCTAGAGAACACAGCAACCCAGCCCAGCTCTGAGGGGAACTACAGGTCCCAGTGGCCAAACTCAACTGTTCATCTTGGAGATAAATGCCCTTTCGGCTTTTGGCTAAGGAGATAAGCAGATGGTCTCTTTCTTCTATGGGAAGAGAAGCTGAGGAGCTAACTGCTAGTTAAATACACAGATGTAAACAGATCCGAAGGAGGAGTTCTCTCCAGTCAGCCTCAGCCAGTGGGAGTGTCCCAGAAGCCCCGGAGGCTGCAATCTTAAAGCCCTTAAGTGGTTCTGGTGCAGATAACCCAGAGACCAGACCCTGAGAAAAATGCAGGAAGGGTGAGAAACAACCGGAGATACCCCGGGGGCCCTGATCTTGTCTTGGAGAGTTAGATTAACCACAGAATGGTGCAGGCCAGGCCCAGCATACATTATAATTTGCTGGCAGCAGCTATAGATTAGTAAATAGGCTATCAACTTCACTTAGGTGTCATTTTAAAAACTGATTACAAAACAGTGTTGTACAATGTAAATAACAGAGAAGGCAGGTAGGTCTGGGCTACTTGAACACCGCACCTATAACTGTCTGCTTTTATTAGTGCATATTAATTTTACAAAATATTGGGTTTCACTGTAGCATTTTCATACATGCAGATAGAGCCTATTTTGATCAGACCTCCCTATCACCCTCCCTTATCTATTGTTTTTATTTCGTTTCTTTGGTGCTGGGGTAAGCCCCAGGGATGGGTGCAGGCTAGGCAAGCCTCCATCACTCACTGAACAGTTTAGTTTGTGAAAAGCAATTACGCTTGTCTTTCAGCAGTACTGGAAACTAAATCCAGGGCCTTCACACGGAGCTACATCCCCAGGCTTTTTAAAGATCGGTTCACTCTGGGACAGTATCTCACTAAGTAAGCTTCCCAGGCTGGCTTCAGCTTCCAGTCCATGCCTTACTGCCGCTGGCTGCAAATACAATTCTTCCTTGAATCTATAAACGTAGAATGAATGGCCTGTGTTCACTCCGCAGTAACACAGGCAGTGTGTACACAGTAGCACGGGGTGAGAAAGCGGGAGAAGGCAGCCAAAATTTGATTTTGAGTATTTTAAAAAAAACTCTGAGGCCTGGGGCAGGAGGGTGTCGGTATCCTGGGTACTGGCCAGCTGACCTGCAAGGGCAGAGAGGTACAGTTCCCTGCATATTAAAAAGGGTAGTAATTGCCGTTGTTGAGGCGGGGTCTCACTACCAGCATAGGCTGGCCTTGACCTCACTCTCGTACCCCAGGCTGGCCTCCAACTTGTGACCTTCCTGCTTCAGCCCCCAGAGTGCTGGGATTACAGGCATTCACCACCGCACCTGGCTAGGGGTAATAATTTTAATCTGTTAATACAGTACACTGTTCAGCATAAATTTCACAGCTTATTTCTCAAGTGACTAAGTATAGTATCTTTTGTAGGGGGTGGGGAAGGCCCTCCTAAACTTAACACTGGCATAATATTAGTGACTGTCACATTTGGTTTCACCTTCGGCCTGGCAGCTCCACAGTGGCGCCGGCTCAGGCAGAATTAAGGTATTTATACCCCGTAGTACCAGGTGGCTTAGTTCTGTCCCAGTCACCCATCACCCAAGGCACAGACTACAGTGGCAAGGAGTGTGTACCTGGAGCCACAGACCTGGCATGCTCAGCAGGCGACCTTCCTCAGCTCACCCTGGGACTCCATCCGCGTGCCCCCACTCACAGCCAGAGAACAGAGACTCCAAAGGTATTCCCCGGCTACAAGAGCAAGGAACGGCGGCCATATGCTATTTTGCCATATGCAATCCGCTGCCACCGCAGGTGTTGCTACCTGGTCAGTAACACTGGCCCCTCATTTGAAACTAATGCTCTTAATACTAAGAAGGAAGGTCATATTTTCAACTTAGAAAGGCCAGCCAGATAATAGGTCAGCGGACTAAAGTGTCTGCTTAGGCAGAGCTCGGAGGCCGGGTTTGATCCCTCCTGGGAACCCCAAAGCTGCCTGCCCTGCCCCCGGGTACACTGAGAAGCAACTGAGACTGGGCTGGTGGCACCTGCTTGGGAGGCTGAAAACAGGCCAATCACTAAGAGTCTGATCTATGCACTGAGACCCTGTACTAAAAAAAAATAATAATAATAATAAAGAATTCTTCAAAGAAGAAATTCTGAGAAGAGCATTTTTACCTTGAGAACATGGAATTTCAGTGTTTAAGAAAGCACTTCACACCACAAATCCAATACTTAAACTTTAAGAAAACAAAATGAAATATCAGGTGCTCTTAATAGTGACGCTGACTCCAAAGCTGTCCAATCCATGGCAAAAGCCACCAGCCCCGCAGTCTCAGCCTGGGCCAGAGGGGACTGCCAGGGTCCAGTTTTCCCTGTACTTGGAACACAGAAGCCACCAAAGACAACTTTCCTAACACAGAGTATTAGAAATGG